GTGTTATTTGTTGAAACTGTACTTCCGATTTGATTTGAAATTGTCTCATTGCTATCTGTTTATTAATAAAACTTTGAAAAAAAAATCTGTGTAGAAAATTATACTAAAGTTTCAATAAAAACAAACCCAGGATCTTAGTTCCTATGCAAAAGAAACAAGGAAAAGGTGGCAGAGGATGAGTGACTATTAAACATTAACAATTCACTTATTTTATCTATTAGTATACTTTTCTTCACCTATAGAATGAGAAGACAGACTGCCTAAATCAGAGTGACCTGAGCAATTTAAAATGGCCAAGATGGTAGCACACACCTGTAATCCCAGCTTTTGGGAGGCTGACAGGAGGACTGCTGCAAGTTTGAGGTCAGCCTGAACTATAAAATGAAACCCTCTCTCAAGACAGACAAAAAACTTTTAAAATGTATTCAATGAGGGATGGTGAGATAGCTCAGCAGACTAAGTGGCTGCCTGGCAAGTGCAGGGACTGAGGTTCAATCCCTGGCACCACATGCCATGCTGGCCCCATTCCTGGGCGCACTGAATCAGCCACCAAGACCAGGCATGGTGACACATGCCTGTAATTCTAGAGCTTGAAACAGAAGGATCACTACAAGTTCAAACTAGGTAAGGAGACTCTATATCAAATACATTTTTTTAAAAGTATTTAATGTAACTATGTAATTGAGATACAATAAACACCTCATATACATTTATAGACAAACAGACGATATAAAAACGGAAGTTCAATAAACATTTCATATAATTAAAATCATAACAAGAGTTTACCTTTTGGACTGAGAGCTAAAAAAATTTAATACAGAACACTCATTCGTCTTGGTATGTGAAATACTGGGTTCTTCATTACATCCAGATCCTTCTACTTCTAAGAAAAAGAAATTCACAGGTAACTGACAAACTATCTTAAACTAGTAATATCCCTCTTACTCTAATTATTTATCTTTAGTTTTCTTACCATCCTTACTTAATTTAAGTCCAGCATTCCCTCAGTGAAAAGGATTTTTCCTCAACTAGTATTACCCCATTACAAAGTACCTTCATTTTATGACTATCTTTCTAAAAGCCAGTCAGTCCTTATACTGGCTGACTTTATTTCTGTACCAAGTCAGCTAAGAGAACACAGAGCACACAGACCTAGTTCATCTATCCGTTCTCTGGAATTATCTGTATATTGGATCTTCTGCTTAGATTCAAACTGTTTACTCCCACATGACCTTATTTGCTTTATGAAGAAAATCACCAAAAAAAAAAAAGAAAATCAAATGTCTGTTTTCTATAAAATTCCAATTTTTCCTACTTTTACACCCTTACTTATTTACATATTCCCACAACCTTATTTCCTTTTCCCTCTAATGTTAAGCCATTCAGCCATTCTTGTCTCCATTTCATCCTACAGATCCACTATTACCTCCATTGCATCCAAAAATGTCTTCCAATCCATAGATTTCTTCCATACAAACACAAAACAAAACCTCAACCTCAAGTCTGCTCTTTTAAAACATTTATTTCTCTGTCCTATCCCAAACTTAAATAGTAGTTATTATTTCCAATTCTTCACCTACTATTCTTACCTGAAACACTTGCTGTCTGGCTCTGCTTTAAACTACTTTCAGAAATTAATTTTGAAAAGATCATTAAACTGCTAAAATCATAGATCTCTTTTCATTTCTCCACTGACTTCAGAATATGGCTCAAACCTATCTTTCTAACTTTCTCTGCTGATATCCATGCATGCTGCACTATAAATACCATAAAATACACTTAAGTCTACTAACAAAATATGCTAATTTTATTTCTCCCATGTCCTTGCAATGAATAGTGTTCTCAACCAAAAGTGCTCTTTCCCAGCTTTTCTGGCTGGTGTACTATCATCCAATTTAACAACTTCCTTGATGAAACTCTTGCTGACTACCAATTCTCATGTGAATATTTAGAAAGAAATCCTGTATTTTTTTTTTGTATTACATCCAGAAGGGGATTTACATTAGTCTAGAAAATATAATGCAAGTGTTGCAGGCAGCCTGAGTTAGATAGAAATATTGTAGGTAGTTAGACAGGGACAGGCCCTCGAAGGGGATGACAAAGACCAGACAGCTTACTGGGGAGATGCTCCTGGTGTGAGCCAGACCTAAAGATCAAACAAATGCTGACCTCCCTAAAGTTGGCATCCAGGATTGCTCATTAGTCAGGAAGAATCACTGACTGAAGGCCACCAGATAAGGTTGCCCGCTTGCTACGTGACTCGCTACCCCATTTGGTCCTAGGCCTAATACATTTTACCTGGGCAATGGTGCTTGTAATCCCATTGGTTGACCATAGTTTTGTCCCACCTTGTATCTGCCTAAGCGGGACCCCTTTGTCTTTACCTTAGCCCCGCATGGTTTTGTCCTATAAAATAACCTGAAGGAGACAGCTTCCTGGGCAACCCGTTCAGGACCCCCCTCTGTCCCTCTCCGACAGAAGCTTTCCTTTCCAATAAAGTTTTACCTTCAGCTTCCGTTTGTTCCTAAAATTCATTCTTCGGTTTTAGAGAACACGAACTCATTCAGGCCAGGTTGGGAATTTCACATCCCTATATCACAAGTATCAAGTCATATGTAAAATTAAAGCTTACCTGTGCTTAGGCCACCTGCATTTTCACTGGTACTATTTGTTCCAAGTTCCATAGACTCATGGTGAACACTACATTCCTTATACTCCTAGGTGAGAAAGTACATTTCTGTAATTGTACTACTATCAGTTTTAACACATTAAGATACTCAGCCATAAAGGATACACTTGAGACATTTCTAGGTAAATAGATGCACCTTGAGACTATATTCTAAGTGAAATAAATCAAATGCTCATGTATAAATACATTGTTCCTACCTTAGGCACAGTGGTGAGGAAGGAAGTAAGTAATAGTTATGTAAACTGATTAAAACCTTTTTCACAAACATCAAAAGCAAAAGCTAATTGGTTTTAATCTTCCAAAGGGAACAGAAAAAGAAAACTATTATGTTACAGTGAGAAAATACATGAAATGGGATTTACTTAAGAATTTCCACCTCTCTGACTCATTTGCCCCAGCGGAGTATTCCATCAGTGGCTGTGGCCTTCACCAACTCTAAGCCTACTCCATTTTGTTTTCTCTCGGCCAAGGCTCAGCAAAGGCTCTAACCAACAAGATCAACATAATTATTGATAACATCACTGTCCCTGGAGAGAAAGTAAGCCCTGGAATCAATAGCTCCAGGGAGAAGTAACACAGATGATTAGTAGTGGTAAACCAAAGAAAAACCCATGACGATGGAAAACTACAAAAATAGTGTGAGTTTTCTTGAAAAATGACTAGACCCAGAGATCCCAGATAGGTCTACGAGATCACTGGTGACTACTCCCTTCATTTCTAGAGCCCAGGTGGAGCCACAGACATTGCTGGTGACCCCTACCTCCACCCACCTGACCACAGAGATTGCAGAGGGCCCAGGGATAGAGAGGCAAGACTGACTGTCACACAGTGGGGCCCCAGCTGGGACAAACAGGATGAGAAGGTGAGGCTAGCTGCCTGGAAAAGTCCAAAGCAGCAGTAACAATACTAGCCAACAATTAGGTGAAGTAGCAATCAGCATACTGCTTGAGCACAAAGAGACAGAATAGAAGCAGGCAGGTAGAGCTGCCCCTACCCCATTTCTGATGCTGTTTTGTTTTTCTTTTCCCTGTTCTATTTTGTCCCGTTTTTGCTTTTCTTTGTGGGTTTTTTTTTTTTTTTTTTTTTTTTTCATGTGTATGGTTATTTTTGTTTCCTGGGGTTTTTTTTTTCTTTTGACAATTTAGATCTCTAACCGTTTCTTTGCTTTACTG